CTTCAATTCAAGTCCATCGCCTTCCCTTCAAACCGTTCCATGAAATAATTTGCTATCACTGGGTTAAATGGACTCCCCTTCGCAACGCCATCTAGTTGCTCATAGAAGTTTCCCCCCCATTGAAAGTAACTTCCTGTGAGACATCTAAAGAGTTCAACGTCATTTGGGCCTCGCTCCTACAACCCCATGTGGGAAAGACCAACTCCTACGTCAAGGAATCGACAGACGGATATTCTGGTCAGTATCGATGTGGTTTCTTTGTTTACTGGAAGACTCTCTGAGGGGGTTAGTCCACGTGTTCCCGTGGGATATAGGATAATCAACGATTTTTCACACTGGTATAGATGTGTAGGTGATATCTAAGTCTGCTTAACTGGTACTGGGTAAATTTATCGAAGATGTTGCCACTGGAATCAATGAAGTCGCCCCGGAGCGCCAATTAATTTTTATTGTTGTTTTTATTTAATTCTTATCGTTGTTTCATGTATTTTTTTTTTCAGTGAGACATAAATTAATAGCATAAACAGAATGGAACATTTCAGAGAAGCGATGTGTTGAGTTCATGACTCAGTTGATTTGTTGTGACGAGAAACTCGTCTGTAGAGTAAAAGCAGTGTTAAAGAATGTATGTGCGTTTTTGAACTGATCGAAAGCGATTTGATTATCCCTGGCAAGCAGTTATATAGATTGATATTCAGAGAACTATTTTGAGATTTGGTTAATATATAACTTGAAGTTTTTAATAACTTAGCATACCTAGTATTATGCTCATGTATATCTGACTGGGTTTATGACTGTGGATGACATTTTTGTGTATTTCTAATAAGTAATTGTAGATGTATAATTGAGGTAAAGACATGATGCCAAATTTCATAAAGTTTGGTCTCTATATCCAACTCCAGCTAAAATTCTTACTGCTTTTTTTTGTCGAAAGATGGTTATTGTACGAGTGATGTTTCCTCATAAAATTATTACATAGATTATCTGCTAATGAAACAGAGAGAAATATGTCATTCTTAGAGTATCAGGTTGAATTGCTTTTTTCAACTGCCCCAAAAGAAACAGAGTACTTACTAATTTGTTACAGAGCTGTTCTATGTGATTCGATCATGTGAGTTTGTCATCAATAACAATTCCGAGTAGCTTGACAGTGTTTCCCATTTGTAAGTTCATATTAGAGGAGGTTATTTTTTGGGATTTGCTTGCGTTCAACTTAAATTTGTTTGCAGTAAACCAATTTTTAGCACGTTTTTCAAATGTTATGAGAAGTGAGTTCCAAAAGGTTTTTACCGGTACTCATCAAAGTAGTGTCGTCGGCGAATAGAACGCTTTTATTGGGTAATAGGAAGTAGCATAGGTCATTTATATAAATGACAGATATAGGTAGAAGTCAGAGTTTCTTTGATTAACACATGGTTTTCTATTTTCTAAACATGAACTGAATAACTTCAATGCCACCCCTCTAATACCGTAATAATTAAGTTTAAAAATGAGTATCTCATGAGAGACACAGTTGAAGGCTTTTGACAAGTCACAGAGTGTAATATCCGTGAGTACACCTTGTTCCAGACCCTCAACTATGCCTTCCAATATATTAAGAATTGCAAGAGTTGTAGAGCGATTTTCTCGTAACCCATACTGTGCATTATTCAAAAATTAGTGTTTTTTCAAAATATTTCCCTAGTCTATTTTTCAGAATTATTTTGTTGATTTTAGCAAATAGCAAAATACGTAACGTAGCCACAAGGTCGGCTTCAATTCAAGTCCATCGTCTTCCCTTCAAACCGTTCCATGAAATAATTTGCTATCACTGGGTTAAATGGACTCCCCTTCGCAACGCTATCTAGTTGCTCATAGAAGCTTCCCCCCCATTGAAAGTAACTTCCTGTGAGACATGATCTAAAGAGTTCGACGACGTCATTCGGGCCTCGCTCCTACAACCCCATGTGGGAAAGACCAACTCCTACGTCAAGGATTCGACAGACGGATATTCTGGTCAGCTTCGATGTGGTGTCTTTGTTTACTAATGTCCCACTGTAAGACTCTCTGAGAGGGTTAGCCCACGTGTTCCCGTGGGATATAGGATACTATACGTGGGATATAGGATAATCAACAATTTTTCACACTGATATAGATATGTAGGTGATATCTAAGTCTGCTAAACTGGTACTAGGTAAATTCATCGAAGATGTTAATTTCATCCACTCTTCGATTAAATTCACAAATGAGTTGGAGGTGAAAATCTCTAAAAATTTTCTAGACTTGACCATTACTAGAATTGATAATAAACATGATTTCGATATTTTCCACAAACCATCTTACACTGACGTCATTATACACAATTCATCTATATATCCATACCAACATAAAATAGTAGCATTCAATAGGATGATTCACAGACTATTAAATATTCCACTTTTAGAAAGCAATTTTCAATCATTTCATCAAACAAATTACTGTCAACAACAGTTACGAGGTGGATATCATAAACTACATTCTTTCAAAAATATTGCAAAAAAACGCCCATAACCAGGTCTTATCCAGTTTTGAACTATACGCTGTTGACATTTCAGAAACACGGTTTTGAAAGGTTTTGATAGCTTCTTTAGATAATAAAAATCGCAAATCACTACATTTTGTTCACATAGAGAAACAACAGTCAACGCTTAAAGATGTCTGCTAAGATAGCAGACAAAACATTTGGTAGTACAAGTTCCATTCAACCAAGACCTACCAGCTCAGATTATGATTAACATATTTTTTCAAAAACTGGAAAAAGACTATCTGTAATTAAACAATATATTTTATTTTAACAAAAGTATAAAAATAATTCTATTTGGACACAGTTCACCTGTCACTAGAACTAATCAAAGTTGAACAATTGGAATAAAACAAGTTCAACTTTGTTAAAATCTTGGAATTATCATTATTTCAAAGAACTATTCTAAGTTATAACTAACTGGTCATTGTACCTATATA